ATGAATCTATGCCACCATTAGAAGATGCTAATGATGGTGTGGAATATGCCGTTGATGGAGAACTGCTCGTCACCAAGAGAGCTTTGAATGTGGAAGCCAAAGAAGATGATGAAGTACAACGTAATAATATATTTCACACGATGTGCCATGTCAAAAACAAGGTATGTAGTGTGATTATTGATGGTGCTAGTTGTACTAATGTAGCTAGCACTGTTTTAGTTGAAAAGCTTAATTTACCTATGACAAAGCATCCAAGGCCATATAAGCTGCAATGGTTAAACGATTGTGGAGAAATCAAGGTAAATAAGCAAGTTCTGGTTTCATTCTCTATTGGACGATATAAGGATGAGGTACTTTGTGACGTGGTTTCTATGCGTGCTGGACATTTACTTTTAAGGAGACCATGGAAATATGATAGGAGGGTAACACATGATGGCTTCGAAAATTGCTATTCATTTGTCATGGAGGGGAAAACAATTACTCTTGCACCATTGAGTCCAAGGCAGGTTTACGAGGATCAACTGAGAGTAAAAAAAGAGAGTGAGTTGAGAAATGAGAGTGAGCTTGAGGGTATGAAAAAGAGTCCAAAAGAGAGAAAAGATTGAGAGTGTTGAAAACAAAGAGAGAAAATCAGTGAGTGTTTATGCAAAAGAAAGTGATGTTAAGGCTGCATTCTTTGCAAAGATGCTTATTTCAACACTAACAAACTTAATGATTCTTTGCCTAGTATTGTTAAATCTCTTTTGCAGGACTTCAAGGACATGTTTCCAGAGGACATCCCTAATGGTTTACCACCAATAAGAGGAATGGAGCATCAAATTGACTTCATTCCAGGTGCAACAATTCCAAACCAACCAGCATATCGAAGCAACCTGAATGAGGTGAAAGAACTTCAAAAGCAGGTTGAAGAACTCATGAAAAAGGGGCATGTGAGAGAAAGCATGAGCCCATGTGCAGTTCCAGTGCTACTTGTGCCTAAGAAGGATGGGACTTGGCATATGTGCGTTGATTATCGTGCTGTCAACAAAATCATTGTAAAGTATCGTCACCCTATTCCTAGATTAGATGACATGTTAGATGAACTGCATGGTTCT